GGCAAGCAGCAGATGGACAGACGGACGCTGGCCCCAGCAGCAGGGCCTAGGTTCCCCCCCCCCCCGCATCCCACACCCCCAAATACAGAACCAGCGCTGCAGGGCAAGAGATGCCCCATCCCCCATCGGTGAGCAAGTGAGTGTGCGCGGGGGGGGGGGGAGGGAGTGTGGGGGCGGAGTCAAGACAACACGACTAACAGTAAGGGGGCGGGGTTAAAGCGCCTCCACGACATGAACGGGACACAGGGGAGGGTCTCCCAGCAGGGGGGACCCACAGGCCCCCCACCCTGCACCTCAGACCAGTCCTATGGGGGAATCCCCCTTAGTCCATGTTTTCCATCACTGTAACCGGTGGGCGGGGCGTGGGAGACCCCGCCCCACGAGCTCGGGGGCGGGGCGTGGGGAGGCCCCGCCCCTGGCGCGATGTCGCACTCGCTGTCGTCGTTACAGCAGAGTTCGAAGACCAGGGCCTTGACATGACGCCCGATCTTCTTCTTCGACACCTTGGTCACGATTTCCGTCATCCTGGGGGGGCAAGATGGCATCAGGGCAAGGGTGGGAGTCCCCACGAGGGGACCCCCACCCCCCACCAGGGACAGCCCCAGATCCAAGAAACCCCAGCCCCCATCAGTCCCCTGGGCAACTGAGAGGGGACAGCCCCTCCCCCCGAGCACCCCGGGTACGTACGGCTGGTCGTGGCGCTCGCGCAGCTTAGCAGGCGGCATGAAGAAGGAGTAGAGCATGGAGACGCCCTGCGACAGCATGGTGATCTCCAGCCGGTGCTCTGTCTGCAGGGGGACAGAGTGAGGGGGCGGGGGGTCAGCATCCGGACACTCCCATCTCCCCCCTTTGCCGGCATGGGGATCCCCAGTCGGCGCTCACGCTGCAAGAGGGTCAGACACCCTGAGCTGCCCCGCCCCCTTAGCGTGACGCTCCCCAGCTGGGAACATCGGACTGCACCCCCCTTCCCCCGGGTCACCTTGAAGTAGGCCAGGAACTGGCGCAGCGTCATCTCCTCCCCACTGGGCTGCACCCCCTGCACCTCGAACTTGCCGGCATGGGGATCCCCAGTCGGCGCTCACGCTGCAAGAGGGTCAGACACCCTGAGCTGCCCCGCCCCCTTAGCGTGACGCTCCCCAGCTGGGAACATCGGACTGCACCCCCCTTCCCCCGGGTCACCTTGAAGTAGGCCAGGAACTGGCGCAGCGTCATCTCCTCCCCACTGGGCTGCACCCCCTGCACCTCGAACCGGTCCCCCCCAAACCCAGCCCCCTCAGCCCCTCCCAAATCCACTTCTCATTGCATGGGGGGGGTGGGTACGGGGGCACAGGGAGGTGCCTGACCGTGGAATCCTCCCCACAGAACCCTGCCCATGGCCACGGGGCACCAAGGCAGCCAAGGGTACAGAGGGGAGCTCCCCCAGGGCAGGAGGCAGGCTGGGAATATGGGGGTGTATCGGGAGCTCCCAGACCCTCCTTGCTGCAGGGGGCAGAGGAACCGGGCAGGGGCCTGGGCGGGGACACAAGGGACGGGCAGGGGCCCAGGGTGCACACGGCCCACAGAACCCTGCCCATGGCCACGGGGCACCAAGGCAGCCAAGGGTACAGAGGGGAGCTCCCCCAGGGCAGGAGGCAGGCTGGGAATATGGGGGTGTATCGGGAGCTCCCAGACCCTCCTTGCTGCAGGGGGCAGAGGAACCGGGCAGGGGCCTGGGCGGGGACACAAGGGACGGGCAGGGGCCCAGGGTGCACACGGCGGCACCCACCTTGTTGCGGGGGCAGGCGATGGGCTCGGAGAAGCCGAAGAAGGGCAGCGCCAGGTTGAGGAAGCCGTTCTTGTAGGACTCCAGCCGCTTGTGACCCTGCACCACCTTGTACAGCTCCAGACACACCAGCCCCACCACGGCCGCCGTCGTCGTCGCAACG